GCAAGCTGATCCCTAGCCACAGGTCACCCCCGCCCACAAAATACCTGTATGCCTTTGCCATTGAACCTAGAGGAGACAAAAAAAATTGAAAAAACTTTTCCACATCCACCCCAGAACACCTCTCCTCTATCAGCTGTGTCCCCAAGGGGAAAAAGGGAGAGGTGTAATTGTGGAAAGCCTCCAGGAGATAACTCACGATGTACCAGGGGGCTGACAATATTAAGTAAAAATAGAGGAAGAGTATCCCTGCCAGCATCAGCAGCACACAAAACAGCCTGACCAAGCCCCTCAGCCTGGCTCGCACATACAAAATCAAGTTGATCAGTAGCACCTAAGGCAGCAGATCCCGCCATTTAGTCACCAGCCTCAAAACCCCTGAACTCAGCACCTGGATCAACCACCACTACATTGTTTTCCCGGGCTTATCACACACTCTGATCTGTTTCTTAACTCTCTCAAGCCTCACACTGTGCGACAAAAAGAACTGTCGTAGTTTAGCTCTGACGGTCAATTAAGAACCACCAGTCACTCTACCACTCCACCCCTCCCCACCCACTCCCAGTGAGGAAGGGTTGGAGGAAAACAAGGGAGGCTTGTAAAAAGTTTAGATAAGAATTATTTAATTATGTAAATGAAACTTATGGAGTTACTAACAGTGCTATTGCTAATAGCTAATTAAAAAACCCCAAGAAAATAGAACAAATTATACAGGACCTCACCACCCGTGGACAGACACAGCCAGGTTGCAGAAAGGCAAAAATAAATCCAAAACCCCAAGCACAAAAACGGCGGGGGGAAAAAAAACCCCCCCTGAGCTCAGGAGCTGAGATCAGGAGAAAAGAAAACTTCCAACCCTCCTTTCCCAGAGCAATACCCCTGACAAAAGACACTATTTGCCTGCTAATAACATGCCACGAGGTCTGGATAAAGACCATGCTTCCGAGAGGGGAAAAAAAAAAAAAACACACTGCTGGCAAAAAACCGTGCTGTCGGTAGGAACCTCCAGGCTGATTCCTCCCCGCCCCATCTTCTGGGTGGGACCTCTGCAAACTTTCCCCCCACCCACTCCCAGCACCCTTGGTATGGGCGTAACAGTGACCACTCAGCTTGATGTATTATGGGATGAAACAAAATCCCGTAGACTGGCCAGGAGAGCGGCTCATACCTGCCTGGAACAAGCACACAATGAGAATGTCTACGCTCATCCAAATTTGGGCTCCATTTCCTTAAAGGCCTCCTATATGTACACTCACAAAAAGTACTGTACTTATGAACAAATTTTTAGAGCTAAGAGAAAATGTGTCAGAGAACTCATGTGGGTGTAGATAGATGAACTAGCATCTTCAGGTGGAAAAGAAGTTGTGCATGTATACAGTCAGCAGAGTGTTTGAGAATTGTTTATTCACTGACTCCTCTTTGCCATCCTGCCCTAGAGATGTGTAAGTAGGCAGAAATTTGAGGTAGTAAGGGAATGGGAGTATAATGCTGGCAGCTTGTATCCTGGCTGCAGGCATGAAGGTATGAAGGAGCCACGCTTCACTACAATGGTCAATCCTAAATAGTCCAAATTCCACACTGAGCTGTTGGTACTTAAACTAAATGGTTATGCTCAGATAGCCACTTATACACAAGTGTACATGTGTTTCACTGTGATTGTTTACTCTCCAGTTTACAAATACTAGGAGCGGGACACACCAGTCATTCTTCAGGCACAAAGCAATACCGTCTGTTTCAACCTGTGTTCTCCAAAATTACTGAGTAATGACTTTTTCAGGTAGTACTTCCATGAACTACCTGCTTAGCAAAGTTGTCCTTATTTTCCTGCCTTGACAATGGTGAGACAGGACAGCAGTTTCCAGGTCTCCTTTCTTTAATGAAATACTCAGAAATATATCTGGCTAGAAGTCTTTACTACTCATTAATTCACTACTTTCAAATACATCTGTCCTCTTCTACAGTCTGAGACACAAAGTCATCTAAGCATTATTGGACTTTTCCCACAATTAATGCTGATCCTTGATTTTAACCTGTATGTATGCAACAGTGCCATGGCATAGGTATGAATCAGTGTTTTGACACTGTTACTGAGGCTCTAATGAAAAATTTTCGCTACAGCTTGAGGTTAAAAATGTCCAGGCAGGCAGAAGGGACTACATGTAGAGCCACCAACCCCAAGAGAGCCTGTTGATATGGTGTTGAAGTACATGTCCCTCAGTTAGACATATCCTTACATGGAGAGGATGTAGTGACTAGACGTTATTTTAAGAAACACAGAATCATTTTAAGTGAAAACTTTATGTACTGGCTTGTACAAAGATATCTCATGCAGAAGATGATAGTTTTCTCCTCACTGCCGGAGAACACAAACTTCATTCCTTTTAGAGGAACATGCACGTGCTTGGCTCCATGGCATGCTTTAGAAGCAAAACTTCTTTTCAAATTACCCAAAGATCTTAGGCAATGTTCATTGCAAATTCTCTTTTTTAGCTACAGCATTATTTCTGAAGGGACTAGCAAACAAACCACATAAACTGTACACAATTACATTTGTTTAGTCTGTAAATCTTCTCAGTAGTTTTAAAAAGCAGTTAAACTGTTATGTTAAAGAAAAACAATTGCCTCTGGGATCTCATCAGGAGGTTTCAACTGAAACATTTTCAAGCAGCACAAAATGAAAGTCTAAATATGAGTTCTGCTGTAGATACGATGCTTGTTTGGTTTAGAAAGTGGAGCGATCTAAACATGCTCACTGGTGCATGTGAACTGTTAGCCACAGGAAAAAAATACTGTATCTATTGGATAAACACCAGTTATTTAATGAGTAATTTATCATGGTGACGTTGTCAATAGATATTAAGAAGAATTGTGAGGCTTACATATGCATCTATCATTTCTTACTTGTTATTACAGTAATGAACATTTCTTCTGAATTTCTGATTCTTCCTTTTTGCTCACACTGTGATAATTTCAAAAATGTATGCCATAGAAATCGTGGCACACAGGAAAGATTTCTAAGTATGAGGTTCTATATATTGGAAAAAAAAAAAGAATACAAAGAAGCATTAAAAAATCAGGATATAAAATTAACATTAAACATGAATAATTAACTGAATTTTCCACCTTCTAGTATAATTTTAGTGCTTCTGCCTGTCACTTCATGTTCTGGTCTTAGAGCAGCCATGAAGTAAAACCACAGTGATTTACGAACTTACATTCAACACAGAGGTACCGTTACTATTCACAAAGTCCTCTCCTAATCTGGAGAGTTTCTACATTTCTGGCAGTGGGTATCATCAGGCTTCGCAGTCACAGGACTTAACAGCGCCATGTAGTTTAGAGTATATTTCTGTTTGTGGTGCCTGTGAGACCAAATTTAAAGCTTATGCTCAGAACACAAAAAAACCCCTTCACCCTGTAGACATTTCCACAGATTCACAGGGTGGCAGGGCTTGGAAGGGACTTGTAGAGACCACCTAGTCCAACCCCCCTGTCAGAGCAGGATCATGGGCTTTCTACCAAAAAAAAAACCAAAAACTATCTCTGGGTGCAGAAGCAGTTCTGCGTAAAAAATTAATTTTAAACTATTAAACTTGTATTCATCCATCAAAACCTCTCTCCATGGTTTCTGACTCTTCCATAATGCCTAGTCTAAAATTTAACCCTATAGTAAAATACCATCTATCGTAAACTTTAATGACCACAATATTTTGTAATTTTTTTCATAATTCTATGACATAATTCAGATGTAGAAGATTATTTAAAAGTTACATTGATAAATGACATGTCAAAATTTCTTATATCTTGCTACCATAACCAAGTTGAAGCATAAAATACAGTAGGAATAAAATATATGGGAAAAGCAATTGTGATTGCTATTTTTACTGCCCCTTGTTTCCACTGCAGTGACAGACACACTGCTGTTTTTCATACTTACTGAAGATATGCTGAAGGAATTAATGATTCCAAGCTTTTCAGGATTGCTAGAAAATTAACAATAGGCTCAAAATACTATTGGTTAATGTTAGATATAATAAAAAATATTGAAACTGTTGTGTATATGAATATCTTATTAAGCTTTTGTCTGAGAAAACCAGAAATATTTCTGCAAAATCATGACTGTGAAAAAAATTAATTATGTCAGCTGCATTACATATGGTTAAGATGTCTTTTTACTTGTGGTATGAACATTGCCTTGGGATTGATAGTTACTAGTATTTTTTCTCTTAATCAGAAATTGTGTCAGATATGTTTAGACATACCAGAAGAAGTGCATTTCCTGAAGCAATGGTAATAAATAGGCACATCTGTGACAGACTATTAGGCTGAGGTGCATATATATGAGACATTTTGATGTGAGATCAAATACAGATACAGACAGAGAGGAGGAAAATAGAAAGCCTGATTTTGGGGTTGGCTTAAAACAAGTTTTATCTCTAGGATTTAATTTTTTTTAAAAGATATTTATTTAAATCAATTTCAAAAAAAATGGCAATTCAAAATAACCATAACACTTACACATCTGACCTTTAAACTAGCACTAATCACTTAATATATCGCTAATTTTTAAAAATCATCTAAATGAGATCCCTCTCAGTAAACTCATTCACAAGTTCCAACAAGCACGTGGATAATATGAGATCCCAAGCGGCATTCTTTTGTTTTACCATGTTTAGAAATTGCAGCAGTAACAGTCTAACCATGGTAGTTAAAAAAAAAAAAAAAATTGTGGTAGCAAAATGAAGATCAATGGTAGATCAAGCTGGGTTGTATAGTTTCTGTTCTTCACCATCTGCACCAAATGTGCACTACATTTGCTAAGGCACCATTTAAAAAACAAGTTAATGGGTACTTCAATAATAAGTAAATACAGGCAACTACTTGAAAATTAAGAAGGGTTGTTTATACTTAGGGCTTTAATGCTAATGTAATCTTTAAACTACAACTTCAAGTGACACTTCTGTGCACTCTAACCTTTTCCTCTTACTGTCTTTCTCTTACAGGGTTTTTTTGTAGCCGTTTTATATTGCTTTGCTAATGGAGAGGTAAGAGCCAATGGTATGAGAAAAATTTTTAGTCAATTAGTAAAGCATGTTAATGACATCAAGAAGGGTGAATACACTGAGTAGCTCTGTGTATTCGAGAGCATGCATCCATTCTTTTAAACTGGTTTAATTGTGTTGTATGAAGAGAATAGCAAGACCTCAAACAGGTTTGGGATTCAAATGTAAAGTATTTCCACTGAAGCCTGAGTGTCTATAGCACTGTAGAAGTATGGATACCCTGGGATGTCTGAAATACCAGTAGAGTTTTAAGGTCAGCCACCTAAACCTCACTTCTTTAATCATCTGGAATCCCAGACTACATGTTTGGCCAGGCTAAACCCCCTCTTCATTTACCCCTGAAGGCTATCTGAAGCAAAAAATATTGGGGTGCTTTAATATCTTAGCAGCATGTTAAAAAAATAATTTCAAGCATGCACTGCTCAGGACATCCCTAAACTTGATGTGATGGGATTCCTTGTCTGGAAGTTGTCTCCTGCTGTGACTCAAGGGACAGCTGGGTGTTCAATTTGCACCATGCCAGGATTTAGGCAGTGATGGCTCATATTCAAGGAGATGAGAGCAGAGAAAGCTAACCTCCTGCCCAGTGGAGGAGGAAGGCTGAATGCAGACCAGGTTGATCATGTCCAGCTGAGCTTTGAACCTCCATCAAGGACAAAGGTTCCACCACCTTCTTGGTCCTCTGTTCCTCTGCTCCACTGTACTCAGGAAGAAATGTCTTTTTCATATATTCTATTAGAACTTCCCCTATTTGTTTCAATTTATGATCAGTTTCTTGTGTACCTACCAACCAGAATGCCTGTCTCTATCTCCTCCATGATATTTTCATAGGCAGTATTTAGGCCTTCAGCATGAAGGACCCCAAGTCACTCAGCTTATCCTCTAAGCGCCAGTGATCCAGCCCTTCAAGCTTATCAACACAGTTCTTGTACTGGGAATCCAAATTTAGATGCAGTATTCACGATACTATGATACAATAGTCTAACAGTTACTGATTAAAGAAGAACAATCACTGCTTTTGGTCTACTGGCTCTGCTCCTGCCAATAGCACCCAGTGCTTTCATCACAGCTGTATGCTGCCTTTGCCTTATCATACTGACTTGCTACAAGCTACAGAAAATGATGCTATGTAGGCTGTGAAATTAATCTCACTTAATTCTAAATGTTTTCTAAGCTGATTCTCACCGTCTGTACTTGCCGAAGATCTGGGCTGGGTGCAGACCTCCACTACGAGCAATAAACAGACACAGATACAGCATCAGTAGCACTTAAGAGCCCGACACAATCAGCTAGCATGGTACACACTACACTGACAATGGGTACACGAATTTAGACACCTTCTTGAAGGCACAAGTGAAACAAATGAAATGTGCTCTATAGGTAGGCTATATGTTTCTAATATTTAACAGTATTACAATTGTTACATTCTAATATTGTTAAATATATTTTCACAACTACTTAAATAAAAAGAGCTAGCACTTGTCTGCAGTATGTACTTTAACATTTGTGAAGGACACAGAACCCCTGGTGTCTCTCATCAGCAGTTAAAAGTTGTTCTTCTGCTTCCTGGTCCAGCTGAGGTCTCAGGCCAAAGGTCCTGCTGTTCAGAGCAAGAGCATGTCCCACTCCTCTTTATGGGCCTGGGGCCTGCCCTCCCTCTGCGGCACTGGCTCTCATGATGCAGGCAGCAGAACACTCAGTGCTGAGGATTTAAGGCAGGCTGCCAGACAACAAAATACATATCCAAGCACAACACTCCAGCAAAGTTTCATGGTCCTCACTTCCACAGTCCTTGGCCTTTCTTCCTCTTCACTTCATCAGGCTGTAAACATGAAAGTCACTTAAGCTCTCCCACACACATGTATTAGGATCACAGTGTGTCAGAGATTCAGGGGCTAGGAAAGACTTCCCAAAGTTAGACTGAAGAGGGTAGATTCTTAAGATTGACTTGGCAATCAAGTCTCTTCCTGCCCTACCACTCAGCAGATGTAAGGTGTACCCCGAAGGGGAACCAAGCTCAGCACTCCCTCAGTCCCTCTCATTTTACAACTTGCATTTGGGTAAGTGGTCTGCAGGGTGATCACAAGACATCACCGTGGACAGGCTGTTTTCTTCTCCCCACAGGTGAAAGCAGAACTCCAGAAACAGTGGTCCCGCTTCTTGCTTGCAGATCCCTTTGGTTGTAAACTCTGTTTTCTGGGGGAAAATATAAAATACCTCAGGAAATGTTCACAGAAACAAAAAAAACAGCCACTTGGCAGCAAACATCACTTGTGCCTGGAGGGAAGTGAGCTATGGGGCATGCAGCTCCAGCAGGTGCTAGTGAAGCAGAGGAGAAGTCTCAGCCCAGAACCAGGCTGTGCTTTCCCATCTTGTCCACGGGCAAGCATGTCAGACAGCAGTGAAGGAGAAGTCACCACTGGAGAGACAACTGAAGAAGCCTTTGAAGAAAGCGAGATTTAGAAAGCTGTCCACTATGACACCACCTTCCAATATCCACAGTATTTTGAAAGATCTCTCACCTCCATACTGTACAGTGCTCTGGGATGTGCAATACATGGAGGAAGCAGCTAATATCCCAATTGCCCGTTTTCTTAATCTGAGAAAAATGTTTATCTGCATGTTGCCAACCTGTCTGGCTAGAATAGAAGAGGTTTGCTGGATGAAAAAATGCTTTGAGTTGACCAGTCTGGAAGAAAACTCATGCTGAAAGAGCAGAGGAGCAGGATGTACTCTGGAAATTAGTAGACTCTGGACAAATATATTGTGGCCCAGCAGCTTCATCCATGCTTGACTGTCATTCTACTCATATAAAGAAGAAGTTGTGTTTTTCATAGGTGTGTTTCATATATTGATACGTGTGTAGAAGACTTCTCTCCATAAACTGAAATCACCCCCATCTCAAAAAAAACCCAGTTCCAAACCAAACTAGACACATTTTGTGTAAGGAAAATGAAAGAATTCATATGTTATAAAAAAAAAAAATCTTGGGAAGAAACAAACTTAGCTTGTTTCTTTGAGCATCTTCACTTCAAGTTTAGTGCTGGAAATGAAAGACCAAAATGTTGACTTTTCAAAGTGCTCAAATTAAATGCTTTGATATAATTTTAATTTGCTCAATTTTGTTTTCACTATTTTTTGATACAAGCCATATATTTTGATGCATCTGCAAGTTTGCCCTACCTGTGGCCCAAATAACAAAATAGATCAGTGTTAAGTGCTGCTTCCACCTTCCTTGCAGAGGTCCTGAAATAGATAATGACATGGAATTGTGACAGCAACAAAAGAATATTGTGAAATTATTCTTCCAGTATTTAAGAACTATGATGAAACTTTGTCACACATAGCTCAACCTAAGACCTATGAAATTCAATTAAGTTTGTTAATATTCTATAAGCCCATTTCCAAACTTGTGAAAATGAGCCAATTGGCATACTGAAAGGGAAAAAGAAAAAGGCAACAGAAAGATAGTGGGCAATATTTATTTACTATATCAACATATACCCCAGACATACACATATGTAATTATCTAGCCTGCGGCTCGTTACACAGAATTTGTTATGATTTTTTTCCTGCACTTTACTGGCAAGCACTCTATTTTAACCTGTATGCCTGCAAATGAAATAAAACATATCCCTGAAAATGGCACTTTTTTGAGATATGTTGACTAGCTCTTCAATGTGGTGTTTAAGCCTTCAGTGTGTTGTTTAAGCCAACTTAGTTTACGCAACTTATATAACTTACCAATGCCTTTAAAAATTATTTATCACTCTACAAATGTTTAGAAATGTAAACTTTATCAGTTATGATATACTGTTTTCTTGCAAAGAACAGATAAATTCATTGACTAGCACTAGGTCAAGAACACATTTGAGCTATCACATTTCTAGTACTTTTAAAAAAGTATTTTTTTTACAGGTCTATCAATGTTAAGAACTTAACCTACTTAATCAATACAAGTTTGTATATTTCAGTAAAATTTTAATAAAATGTAAATATTTGATCCATCTTAAAATATATCAGTAATTTTAAAAGGCTTTTTAACATAATATGCACTCTGCTTATACAGCACTTTATTTTTACTGCAGTGGATTTCTGTGGCACCCATTATAAGCACCAGACACTACATATCTTTTGACAGGATCTTGTCCAATTTAAAAAAGACTGATTTCTTCTAAAGTTATTGTTTAAGATATTAAAAAGCTTGAAGTAGTTTAGAACACATTTTACCTGGGTGCCAAAAAGGTGAACATTTTATGATTTTATTTTATCTCAGTGAAATACTTTATAATTGCATTTCAAAGTCTTTCAAATGGACAAGAAACCAGTTTTCTGTGCTCTCAACAGCATTTTCCCCTCTCTAATATGTGTGGAGGAAAATATCTGCAGTTGGGATGATATTGATCACATAGCACAACCAAGTGATAATCTGGGTGCATTCTCCCCTTTTTATTATGTGCATGGGGTTTTTGCCCCTTTCAGTTTATCAAAATTAACTTGTTTTATATAAGCAGACCTTGGAGGACTGATAAAAACAGTTATCACATGGATTCCTTCAGAAACTATCTTTGTAAGTAGACAAATCTGCAAGTTTCATCATAAAAATATAGCATTATTTATTATATCAGTAACATACAGAAGCTGTTAAGGCTGGATGGCCACACACTGTATTTTTACAGAAATATTACAAGCTACTCAGTTCTAAATAAAATATTAAACAGTCTAGAAAACAGCAGTTGAATCAACATTTGAAACATGTTAGTAGAGTCAAAAAAGAGCTGGGACAGGCGTCAGGAAAAATAACTGACTCTCCTCCTAGGAAGGTCAAATTCTGCATCTATATATCCTCCCAGGACTTTTTCTTCTGTCCTTTGTGGAGTTCCAGGGCCTCAGAAAGGATATTTCAGCTGGAGGAGCTAAAAGAAAAGCTGCAGCAGGTCCCTGGGATGTGAGACAGAAGTCAGATGACTTCTGAGGGTTCCTGCAAGTGGACAGACAGAAACAGTTCTGAGAAAGTGCAAGAAATACGCTCTTGCTCCAATGAAAGAAGAGGTGGAGGAGGCAGATCAACCCACACTGGTGTTTGTTTGCAAGTGATATTTTGTGTAAATTACTTATCCAATTTGCATATATATTAATTATCAGACAACAGACTTTAACGTTAGCACAGGGGTTTATGCCTGTGTAGACCCAGTAATAGGATTTTTCTCTTTATTAAGCAGTTGCTTACCTTTACTACCCAGATTTCCACTGCCTTCACCTTATGAGAAAAACCGGTGTGAGCTAAATCATTCTTCCCTCTCAAGGAGAGAGCCCATCCTCTCACAATCCTGCGTTTTGCCTCTGTTGAGACAGTCTGTTAAGTAAGACAAGGTAGGATATTCATGTTAAGGACATCAGAGACATCCTATGCTAAAACCTGACTCCCACAGCTTTGAAGTTGTCTTTGCCAAGGATTTTCTTTTGCATCAAAACTTGTATGACAAAAAATTTAATTTCAAGACCAAAATAGCTAGCGGGGTTCAACAGAGCTTTCTCATTAGGTGCAATGTGATAACTGATCTGATTTGTACAAATAAGGTTTACACAATCTCAATAATCTGCTGTGAGACATGCTGTAAATTTTTATGTTTTACTACACATTTCTTTTCAGCCTGCCATTCCAAATCTCACAAACCATCTGCTGTGCTAAATGTCATATTGTGTTTAGGTATCTTTACAGTTATTCCTGAAGCCACACCAGAATTACAATGAGAAGCAGCTGCTTGTAAACTGTGTCATTGCAATTAGCTCCAAGAAATTAAATTGGAGCTGCCATATAACTAGGCCTCAAAGTCTTGGAGGCTCAGTTTCCTTATGTATCATGTTCATCACATTATAATGACTATTTTCTCCTATCACAGTCAAATTGGGCTTGTTCAGCCTGGAGAAAAGGCCCCAGGGAGACCTTACTGCACCTTCCAGTACCTCAACAGAGCCTACAAGAAAGCTGGAGGGGGAACTTTTTACAGGGGCCTGTAGTGACAGGATAAGGGGTAATGGGTTCAAACTGAAAATGAGTAGATCTAGATCTACTCAGGAAAAAATTTAGATCTAACAGGAAAAAATTCTTCCCAGAAATGGTGGTGAGGCACTGGAACAGGTTGCCCAGAGAAGTTGTGGATACCCCACCCCTGGCCATCTTCAAGGCCAGGCTGGATCAACCTTTGAACAACCTAGTGTAGTGGAAGGTGTCCCTGCCCAAGGCAGGGGGTTGGAACTAGGTGATCTTTAAGATCTATTTCAATCCAAACCACTATGTGATTCTATGAAATTCTCACTGCTTTCCTTGTTTGTTGTTCAGCTTGTTTCTTTGCCTTCTCTGGAGAAGCAGAAATCTCTTAAGACCAGCAGCATCTCTGCAGACACTCTAAAGCAATTGTCCTGGGCTGCTCATCCTCTCCCTCATGTGTGCATCCAAGTCCATTTGGGGCTAAATGAGAGTCCTGTCTACCCAACATGTCATGTCTACCCTGATGCCAAAAGCCTGTTTGATATTACCATGTTCCACATGGGTCCTTTCCTCACAGTGTCACAATTTCCCTGCCTGGAGAACCATACGATTGCCAGAAGAAAGCATGATTTGCAGTGAGTCTGGGCCTGCTTGAATGTGGAGAGCTGACTCCGGGTGATGTGCACCCTTAATCACAGACACCACATCAGCCACATCAACAGCATTGGTGATGAGGCTGACCAAGTGCTACTACCTTCCTCTCCTCCTTTGTGTTTTAGGGCTGGTGCTTAGGTCTGACTCTGTGTAATGCTTTGGGCTTGTAGTCTTCCCTACTGCAGTCTGCTCTTCAGGCAGACAATGAGGCTTAGCAAAGAGGGTGCCAAACACCACTTAGAAGAACAAAAGAAAGCAACAAAAAATACTGCTAGGGCTATTCTTTAGCTTTTTCCTGCCACCTTTGTCTAATAACGCCATCTCTGGCAGGTAACCAGAGTTTAGGGCTGAGAGGAGGCAAATGGCATTTCCACTTAAAGTTGCCAGTATGTGGCTTAAGCACATTCACTTTTGAATTTCATGGGCACAATGAACAGAGGACTGGGGCTCAGAATGTTTAAATTTTACACACGATGACTTCTACTTTGCTGGATATCTTTGGAAAAGTGTCAGCTCCAATTCCCCTTCAATTTCCCCTTCGTGAAACAAAGGTGACAGTAATGACTGCTAGTTCAATTCAAGGGAGTAATGGGGTCATCATTATTTAAATCTAAAATGTCAGATTCAGGCAAGAAATATAAAAGTCCAAAGACAGCCTAAAATAGAATACTTCCATTTTCTTTTTTTTTCTAAATCTTGCTATCTCCTGACCAATACCCTGCTTTAGGTGGTTTGTATTAACATCCCTCCAGTAGCATCCTTAAAGGCAGGAAAAAGGCAATAGGTTGGTAATAGCTCAGAGTTACAGATATGGAGA